GGGGGGGGGGAAGTGAGCAAGAGGAACAACCCCTCATCTAAAACTTCCTCTTTCGGGGAACCACTGCCCAGCGCCCATTTTCCCAGGGGCCACAAGCGCCATCTTATGGGCCCTGCTTTTTCCTCTCAGCATTATGTGGATGTGGATAGATAGAATAGATAGAATACAGGAATCAATAGGTAGGTAGGGACGTAGGGAGGTAGGGAGAAGGGAGGGAGGCCAGTAGGCAGACAGGCAAGGAGGCAGGGAGGGGAGGGAGGGAGGCTGGGAGATAGAGAGGTAGGGAGCCAGGTAGATAGGTAGATAGGTAGATAGGTAGATAGGTAGATAGGAAGATAGGAAGATAGGTAGATATAGGTAGATAGGCAGATAGATAGGTAGGTAGGTGGGTAGGTGGGTAGGTGGGCAGGTAAGCAGGCGGGCTGGCGGGCAGGCATGCAGGTGGGCAGGGAAGCAGGTAGGCAAGGAAGCAGGTGGGGAGGCCGGGAGGCACGGAGAGAGGTGGGGAGGGAGGTGGGGAGGGACGTAGGTGGGTAGGTGGGTAGGTGGGCAGGTGGGCAGTTGGGTAGCAAGGTAGAGAGGTAGAGAGGTCGACAGACAGCCAGACAGACAGGGACGTAGGTAAGTAGGTAGGTAGGTAGGTAGGTAGGGAGGGAGGGAGGGAGGAAGGGAGGGAGGGAGGCGGGGTAGGTAAGAGGCGGGAGGGCTCTAAAAATGCCAACTTTTGTCTTCTTCTGCTCGGCCTCGAGTACCCGGCACATTTCCCTCTACCCTATGGTACCGGCTTACCTGCTACTTGAGTGTTTTTCCGCTGCTTGAAGTGTCGCGGGCCTCTTTCCCGCCACTTGAGTGTTTTCCCGCTGCAACCCTCAACGTTACGACCACAGGTAAGTACCGGCCCTTCTGGCCCTCTGAACGAACAAGTGCCCTCGCGGATCACACACACACTCAAGCCGACAAGCACTCATTCAGGCATGCAGACCAACAAGCATGCACACACACAGACTTGGAAAACTCAGCAACAAGCGGGAAACTCAGCAAGGCATTCATTCCATGAGCAAAACTCAGAAATCAGCTGTGTGTCTCAGTCCGTGTTTGGCAGGGTCATTACACAACTGGCAAAGGTGACGATCAATGTGCTTTTGCCCTGGCTAAGGGGAACAAGGTTGATGTCTTTGAAGTTTGGAGGGAGTAAGAGATTGCATCATACCGTGTCAAATAAGTAAACATTGACACCAGTGCCATCAAAGGAATAGCTGTACTCATTGTTGAATGGCTCCTTCACCCCTGGCAACTGGTCAATTCGGTCCAGACCCCAAGGTGCTTCCGTCTGGGTCCCAGATAGTGCAATCTGAATTACTCCATCTACTTCCACATGCTGTACCATGTCAGTATATTTCTTCAATAAATGGTCAAGTCCCTCAAAGCTCGATGAAACAAGCACTCCTTTGAAGTAATTGCTGCTGTACCTACAGAAAAGCAAGATTTTTCAACGGAGAAGAGGGGTTGTCATTCGTACGCTCTGTTCTTTTCGGTTACTTGCCTTGATGTTTGAGGTTCATGGTGCAGGGTCTGTGTAGCTCTGCTCTCTTGCACATTTGGCCTCTATCATCCTTTTGAAGCTGTGTAGCATCGTGTTCGCGTTCGGAGGCGAACACGAACATGTTCGCCCGTACGCGAACGAGCGCCCAAAACCCTCCGAACACAAACATAAAAAAAATATTTATAGAAAAAAAATATATCGGAAAAATCTGAAAAAAAAATGTCGTGTTAAACAACAAACAAGCAAATCTTGCCTTGGAGGCTTGGAGTCATGTTCAAATTCTTAGCCAAATGTGAGTTAAAAATAGAAAACCCGAAAAAAATATATATATATATATATGTTATGACCTGTCATCACACGGACTGAAACAGACAGCCGATTTCTGAGTCTTACCGTGGAATGCATGCCATACTAAGTTCCCCCGCCTGCTAAGTCTGCTTGTGTGTGTGTGTGCTGGACTGCATKTCTGTCTGAATGYTGGCTGACCTGTGTGAGTGTGCTGCGTGCCTGTCTAAGTGACTTGAGTGTGTGTGTGGCCCCGTCGGGGTCGTGGATGTGGGGGCAGGACCGGTAGGGCCGGTACTTACCGGTGGCGTGACATTTGAGGGTTGCAGCCAGGAAACACTCAGGTGGCGAC